AAAAAAAAAAAAAAAAAAAAAAAAAAAAACCTCAAAGTGGGCCGGGCACAGTGGCTCACACCTGTAATCCCAGTACTTTGGGAGGCCAAGGTGGGCACATTGTTTGAGCTCAGGAGTTTGAGACCAGGCTAGGCAACATAGCAAAACCCCATCTCTACAAAAAAATACAGAAATCAGCCGGGCATGGTGGCGTACTCCTATAGTCCCAGCTACTTGGGAGGCTGAGGCGGAAGGACTGCTTGAGCCCAGGAGGTGGAGACTGCAGTGAATCAAGATCACACCACGGCACTCCAGCCTGAGCAACAGAATGAGACACTGTCTCACTCAATCACAATCAATCAATAAAAATAAAAGTGAAGTCAATATAATAATATACTGAGGAAAAATAAGAGAAGCTACTAAAACCATATAAAGCATAGTGGGAGAAAGAAATTGTCTCTTCAGTAAATGATATTTGGGAGGCTGAGGCATTAGGATTGCTTGAGCCCAGGAGTTTGAGATTAGCCTAGGCAACAAAGCAAGACACCATCTTTACAAAAAAGAAATTGTTTCCATTGCAGAAAAATGATTTCCTACTAATCTATCCAATCTATTCATCAAGTGTGAAAATGGAAAATTGTCCTTTCATACATTCAGGGTATGAAAAAAACTTCCCACTCAGCAAGAAGAAAACATAGGCTCTGGGAAATGTAGAGGGCCCCTGGGAGGGAAAAAAGCTTGTCAGAGGGAGGCCTGCTTCTAGGACCACAGTGGCACTGCAGGTCAGGAAAGCAGTCAGGTCCAGAGCAAAACTGGAAACTGAAGGGCTCTGGAGATGAAGCAAAATGGAACTTCTCTTACCTAATGCTATTATCAAACCAAATAACCATCTTGAATTTTGTTATACTTAGAAGAGTAACCTTCAGACTCTGCAGCAGTTCCTAAACACCTGTGCAAACAACGAGGTATGATAGGGTGGAGTGAGTTCAGAAAGGGAAGGTAAAACAGAAAAAAGTGAAGATTATGCCACTTAGCATCAACCAGAGTGGTCAATAATTTGGCAGAGAACATTCTCAAAACCTAGCTTTCAGGGTTTCATCCATAATGCTTTTGGTTTTGTCTTATTTTATTTATTTTAGAGACAGGGTCTCACTCTGTCACTCAGGCCTCGAACTCCTGGACTCAAGCAATCCTCTTGCCTCAGCCTCCTAAGTAGCTGGGGCAGGCGGACACCACTACATCCAGCTAATTTTTATTTAAAAAAAACTCTCCTGTAGGCTGGGTGCAATAGCTCATGCCTGTAATCCTAGCACTTTGGGAGGCCAAGGCAGGCAGACCACTTGAGGTCAGGAGTTCAAGACCAATCTGGCCAACATGGTCAAACGTTGTCTCTTCTGAAAATACAAAAATTAGTTGGGCGTTGTGGTGCATGCCTGTAATCTCAGCTACTTGGGAGGCTGAGGTGGGAGAATCGCTTGAACCGGGAGGCGGAGGTTGCAGTGAGCCGAGATCACACCACTGCACCCAGCCTGGGCAATAGAACAAGACTCCATCTCAAAACACAAGCAAACAAACAAACTACCCTGTAGAGATGGGGTCTCACTATGTTGCTCAGTCTGGTCTTAAACTGCTGCCTAGGCC